TCTAAGGCAGGCATGACTTTCTCCCCTGCCCCTCCGGTCCCTTCTCCCTGTCATCCCCACGAGCAGTCAACGCTACAGATTCTTTACAAATGACTTGTGGAAAGCTTCCAGAGACAGTGTGTATTTTTAAGTGAATATAATCTATTTTCCTCATCTTTGACCCAAAGAAATAGTGGTGCACACAGCCCAGCACTTACAAATGTCTTGGAAAGGATCTTATGTCCTTCCATTAATGAACCTCATTTTTTCCCATGCTCAAGGTATGTGTGCAGTCCATGAAGTCAAACTGTCCCCTAGCCATGTACATTTAGGTGATTTCCAATTTTTGTTATTGGAAATGGTGCTGTGGAGATTTTGTACTGTAAAATGAATTATTTGAAGTCAAAATTTCAATGTCAAGGCTATTTGCTCTGTCATTTGACTGGCATTACCAAAGACTCTCCACAAAGGTTATACCAACGAACACTTCCACCCACGGGTATCAGAGTTCCTGTTTCCCCACACCTCAGAGTATGTTTATTTTCTTAGTGCATTTAAAGAAAGAAAGAAAAAGCCAGGAGGGGATAGAAGGTGTTATCTAAAACTGTCTCCTGAACATCATTTCACCAGCAAATGTGGCCTGACCTCTTCAGGGGACACAATTGGGCAAGTGACAGGTCTCACTAGAGACAGAGACACACCCCAGGCCACTCCAACACACCTTCTTTATTTAATTGGTCCCCACTTAGCGCCACAGACCCGTCTGTGTTCTAATTGACCTACCCAGGGTGGTAACCGGAAAATTAAACAACTTTGGTTTTCTTGAAGACTGACAAATTGTTCGCTAGTCAAATAGGCTACTTCAGAGCTGGTCTCAGAAATTCCCTGTCTAAGTGAGCTGCCTCTGAAAGCAACTGGTGAGATTGATAAGCAGTCCCCCGAAGACCCAACAGGCACAATGGCATTTTCCACTGACCTCAGTCCTCTACTCTCTGAGCACTTTGAACACCCCACCCCACACCCTACAGAGCATTGCTTTTTCAGATTATTTCAGTAACACTGTGATACACACACACACACACACACACACACACACACACACACATTGTCTTCATTACGCTGTTTTCATCGAGCCCTCAAACATCTCAATTCTTAAGTCCTTTGAAAATAATATAATTGCTTCTTTCTCCATGACACAAAAGAATTACTTATTTGTTAGTGTAGTCTTCCCACCAAGCCATATCTTTCCAGGAATATTTATGTATAATTTCCATTTCAGTTCAATTCTATACAAGCAATTCGCTGGAACAAAAGTCAACTAGACTGTGGTGTGATGTACACACAATGAAAGACTCCCACTTAAGAGTGCATTTCCATGAACTTTGCCAAATGTCTACAACAGGATCCTCACGCCACTGGGTTCTTTAAAAGGAGATAACTATTTTCCTGGGCTGCAATGTTAGCACTTACACAGGCCCCGGCCCTGGAGGTATAAGAACTGCTTGTCCAGCTGTCTTGGCAGGGGTTACACGGCCTCCCTGGAAGCTCCCATGAAGTCGACCACGAAGACAAGTCATAATCCACACTTTGGTTTCACACAGACACCCACGCATGCCAGTGTCTCAATCCTAACATCTGCACACCAAGAGAGGCACAACACAGGCTCTTAGAGCTCTACTTTCTCCAGTGGGTCCCCAAGGTTTCCAGAACCCACTCCCATCCCACTCACTCTTTCCTGAGATTCTCCAGTTGCATTGTTTTTTTTTTGTTTGTTTGTTTTGTTTTAGCAATGTCTTGCTATGTAACCCAGATTAGATTAGTCTTGACTCCTTAATTCTCCTGCCTCAGCCTCCCAAGTGCTGAGATCCCAGGTGTGTGCCACCACACCCAGCTCTAGTTTGCTTCTTAAAGGACTCAGGCAGCCATTCTGTGTGGTTTGACCAGGGCAGGGCAGAGTCCTGGGGCAATTACCTCCTAGATCTCTACTCAAATATTTGCTACGTGCCCAGCATGTGCCAGGCACCTATATATGAGTAAGACTCTGTACCTGCCTCAGTAAGGTCACGGAATTCCACTAATGTGACTAATTAATGCTTTTAATGATTGCTTCAGGGCCCTAGCTCTGTTGAACTTGGAATGAATTAAAGTTTACATACATTACAGTCAGGGCACAATAATTTCTTCCAAGCCAAGTGCAGGTCTTTTCACATGCCCTGTTGGCTTTCATCATTTTGATTTTGCCTTACCCCAACTGCCAACAGAGAAACTTGTTAGGTATTAACTGTTAAATACTAAAACAGTCCACGTCTCATAGAAAAAAATGGCATTCTCTTATTCTTTCTCACAGAAATTAAAAACATTTCTGAGTTAAGGAGGAACTAATCTCTGAGAGGCTACCTATGAATGTATCCTTTGAGCAAGGTACAGGCTATGTTACTGTATTTCACAGTACCACATATGTATGGAGCAGATGACATCATATTTCTTTTTGTCCTTTTTTAAATTGCAGGTTCAGGTTCTTTTCCTGGCAAACTTCTATCACACATCAAGACCCAATGCAGATGGCATCACTTAGATGAGGACTTCCAGCATTTCAGACAGAGGGAAAATCTTTTCCTGTAACCTCTCCTCTCAGCTCATTTCCCCTTACCGTACCACAATAGTGAATCATTTATCCATTTTTACATATATTTAGAGTAACCAACCATCCCTGCTCACTGGGGACTGTCGTGGCTAATTACTAAATATCCAAGTCCTAAAAAGTCCCTTAGTCTTAGACAAAGCAGAAAAACCGGTCACTCTACATGACAGTAATAAATTTAATAAAATAGTCATCATTTACAAATGGCCAAATGCCATCACCACACATTTAACTTTAAGTTAGGACAATACTAAAATCAGTTGTGCTGAACTGAACCCGCCTTACAGAATGAGATGAGATTGACAGAGGTAAGCAACTTGCCCAAGGTCACATGGGACACTGGCACTGAGGTCTTTGGGTGTCATCACACCATCATACTATATTGCCATCTTAGAGATCAGTGATAACACCCCAGAGAACCTCCCAAGAAACATTATGGAATCAGTTCTCTTTATTGGCCTATCGCTTGACATCAGCTAGCCTGTTAGCATTGGTCCTCACTGAAGCCACCAAGCATTTACTAAGTGTCCATGCAGCAGGCAGGATGGTATACCAAGCATGTTCCTGGGGGCCGCTTGGTGGTTAGAGCCTTTACCCAGCCTTACCAAGGGTTTGACCCTCGGTACTGGAGTGGAAATGGGGCAGGATGGGCAGCACTTTTAACTGAAAGTGTAACATGCAGATCTGTGCCAACAGAGCCAACATGCCTGGAGTTTCCTGGTGGAAATCCAGAGCACCATGGTTTGGCCACTTAAAACATTTGTCTACAGGCAAGAAAAGAAATTTCCAGGGGCTTCATGATGAGAGCTAGGCATTCGGGCCATGGTCCAGGGGAGGAGATGTTCCTTACTGGTCAGCTTACCATGTGTCCACATGTTGGAATTTGGAAAACATTATTACTTCAGCCCCATGCCCACCCTGCACACTAGCAGTATTATTTTTTGTTTTTACATTGAACTCCAGAATGTCTCCTTCACATTTACATGGGAACTTCTCTCTTTTCCATAATTAAACACCAAATTCTCAAACACCCCTGCTCCCTGGAGGTAAAAGAAGTATGGGGAGCCCCCCCACGCAGATCTGTGCCAACAGAGCCAACATGCCTGGAGTTTCCTGGTGGAAATCCCAGAGCACCATGGTTTGGCCACTTAAAACATTTGTCTACAGGCAAGAAAAGAAATTTCCAGGGGCTTCATGATGAGAGCTAGGCATTCGGGCCATGGTCCAGGGGGAGGAGATGTTCCTTACTGGTCAGCTTACCATGTGTCCACATGTTGGAATTTGGAAAACATTATTACTTCAGCCCCATGCCCACCCTGCACACTAGCAGTATTATTTTTTGTTTTTACATTGAACTCCAGAATGTCTCCTTCACATTTACATGGGAACTTCTCTCTTTTCCATAATTAAACACCAAATTCTCAAACACCCCTGCTCCCTGGAGGTAAAAGAAGTATGGGGAGCCCCCCCACCAATAAACTGGATCTGCTACATAGCCCAGGTTAGCCCCTTGCAATGTTGGGATTAGTCATGGGCCATCATGCCTGGCTCATTCCTCCCTATTTTAAACTAAGGGCTCCAGAGAGAGTTCTGGAAAGAACGCAGCAACTAGGAATGCTGACGGAAGTCCCTGCACCCATCTCCAGAGGCCATTGTATGGAAGCCACCACCCAACTCTGTCTCAAAGGTCCACTCCTATGTTGGTGGCTGACCCTCCTCCCTCTGCCCTGCCAGGGAGAGGGGGTGAAGGACTGATAGTCACAGACACAGGTGGCGCCACTTCCACGGTTAATCAGTTTACCTGAGAGTTCAGTTTGTAGAGCAGGGAGGTGGAGCACTTTGCTATCCCTCCCAGGGAGAAGAGGCTGGCGGCCCGGCAGCCTCGGCCGTATCCATTTAACGCAGGCATTAGAAAGAAGGCCCTCAGCATTTCCACAGACACTGACTTAGGGTGTCTACCCGGGAGGATTGGCACCAGGGGACCCCACAGTGCGCCCGAGGACTTGCGCGGCGGGAGGCTGCAGTTTAAACCCATCTCCCGGCGCCTCTTTTACTGGTCCTTCCGTTGTTTCCGGTGTGAAACCCCCCTATAGGAAAAGTCTTCGGCCACCCCGAGGGATCCTCCACCCGGCTGCCAAATGGCAGAAGGAAGAGCTAGCCGAACCCCAGCGACCTCCAGATCCCCCGCAGAGCCATCGCTTCCCGGTGGGCTGCGCTGACCACGCCGCTCTTTTGCAGAAGGGCTTTGCTGCGCGGCTGGTGGCTGGACCCTGCTCATCGCCATCGGGGCGCACAGCCACCAGCTTCCACTCAGCCTTCCTCGGGAGCGTGCGCTCCACCCCGACACACAGCAGACCGCTCGCGGCCCTCCCGTACTCACCGAGATTGGGGTGTCTGGTGGGGTTGGCCCGGCCGGGCAGGCTGTGCAGAACCGGGCTGTCGAAGGGGCCGGCGGAGGCGGCTGCGGCCGCTGCCCAGGACGCGCCCACGTCGGCCATGTAGGCCGGGTAGGGGCTGGAGTAGGAGCCGGCGAAGCCCGGACGCGCGTACTGCTCACGGCTCGCCAGGCCCGCGCCCGCAGCCG